TCTAGAATCAGCTTCCTATTTCGCAACAAAGCCTCCTTCACTCATGCTGCCAAACATGCCCTCGTAAAACTGACTATCCTTGACTATACCGATCCTTGACTTCGGCGATGTCATTTACAAAATAGCCTCCAACACTCTACTCAGCAAATTGGATGTTGTCTATCACAGTGCCATCCGTTTTGTCACCAAAGCCCCATATACTACCCACCACTGTGACCTGTACGCTCTTGTTGGCTGGTCCTCACTACAACATATTCGTCGCCCACCCAACTACCTCATCCCCATATTGTTATTTATTTTGCTCATTTGCACCCCAGTATCTCTATTTGCACATAATCTCTTGCACATCTATCATTCCAGTGTTAATACTAATTGTAATTATTTTGCACTATAGCCTATTTATTGCCTTACCTCCATAACTTGCTACATTTGCACACACTGTATATATATTTTCTGTTGTATTTTTGACTTTATGTTTTGTTTTACCCCATATGTAACTCTGTGTTGTTGTTTTTATCGCACTGCTTTGCTTTATCTTGGCCAGGTCGCAGTTGTAAATGAGAACTTGTTCTCAACTGGCTTACCTGGTTAAATAAAGGTGAAATAAAATAAAATAATAAAAAATATTGCTCACACACACACACACAGAGATATAGCTCTGCCAGGGAAACAAGTGTTGGGAACCCATTGTACAGGAACTTCACCACAAATCAGTCAGATATCAAAGGTTCCCCAGACAGAGCTCCTTCAGGGGGTACTGATAATAACAGCGTGAAATGGCCTGCTTTGAAGACCATTGATATGGGAGAAGCATCTGTGAGAGTTTTCTGGATCTCTTTCATCATGATTGCATCTGTGTCTTTTTTGGTGATGTTTTGTTAGAATCTCTGTTAGAGATTCAGGGCAACATTGCCATAGTGCAAAATAATTGTGCAAAGTGCAGAAATGATGAAACAATGAAAATGAATCACCCTCAGAATTTTAAAGGCATTATGTTGTCACATGGCACAGTCCGAGACAATCACCTATTTTTGCTCTGGGACTGCTTCATCAGTGAGGATTAGAGCGAAGGGAAGGGACAGAGGTGGAGGAGAGTAAAGAGGGGAGGGAAGAGGAGACGAGTCTGTCTCCCCCGCTGCCTCCCCTCTCTTCATCTGGCTTCCAGCCAGCCCCACAGATTTAGCCCAGATTTTAGGCCTATCTGGGCACAAGCTCGGTTATAGACGCTGACTTGGTAATTTCTCAACAAGCCTCTGTGGCAGAACGCCAAGGCACTGTCACTAGAGACCTTAACCCCATCGGCGTCTGCCTCCCCCGACGGTCAGTCCGCAGATGTTGCGGAATGGTTGAGGTCTCCTTTGTCCCCAGAATTGTACCCTTTTCAAACTATTGTGCCATCCCAAACTGTACTGGCTTGGATATTTTCTTTTCACATTGTCAGCAACCAGCAACTACAGTGAAGGAAAACATTATTTGATCCCCTGCTGATTTTGTACGTTTGCCCACTGACAAAGAAATGATCAGTCTATAATTTTAATGGTAGGTTTATTTGAACAGTGAGAGACAGAATAACAACAAAAAAATCCAGAAAAAAGCATGTCAAAATGTTATAAATTGATTTGCATTTTAATGAGGGAAAGAAGTATTTCACCCCCTCTCAATCAGAAAGATTTCTGGCTCCCAGGTTTTTTTGTTGACAGGTAACGAGCTGAGAATAGGAGCACACTCTTAATCTCAGTTTGTTACCTGTATAAAAGACACCTGTCCACAGAAGCAAAAAATCAATCACATTCCAAACTCTCCACCATGCCCAAGACCAAAGAGCTCTCCAAGGATGTCAGGGACAAGATTGTAGACCTACACAAGGCTGGAATTGGCTACAAGACCATCGCCAAGCAGCTTGGTGAGAAGGTGACAACAGTTGGTGCGATTATTCGCAAATGGAAGAAACACAAAATAACTGTCAATGTCCCTTGGCCTGGGGCTCCATGCAAGATCTCACATTTTCATTTTTCATTTAGCAGACGCTCTTATCCAGAGCGACTTACAGTTAGTGAGTGCATACATTATTATTCTTTATATATATATATATATATATTTTACTGGCCCCCCGTGGGAATTGAACCCACAACCCAGGCGTTGCAAACGCCATGCTCAACCAACTGAGCTACATCCCTGCCGGCCATTCCCTCCCCTATCCTGGACGACGCTGGGCCAATTGTGCGCCGCCCCATGGGTCTCCCGGTCGCGGCCGGCTACGACAGAGCCTGGATTCGAACCAGGATCTCTAGTGGCACAGCTAGCACTGCAATACAGTGCCTTAGACCACTGCGCCACTCGGGAGATTCTCACCTCGTGGAGTTGCAATGATCATGAGAACGGTGAGGAATCAGCCCAGAACTACACGGGAGGATCTTGGTAATGATCTCAAGGCAGCTGGGACCATAGTCACCAAGAAAACAATTGGTAAAACACTACGTGAAGGACTGAAATCCTGCAGCGCCCGCAAGGTCCCCCTGCTCAAGAAAGCACATATACAGGCCCGTCTGAAGTTTGCCAATGAACATCTGAATGATTCAGAGGAGAACTGCGTGAAAGTGTTGTGGTCAGATGAGACCAAAATCGAGCTCTTTGGCATCAACTCAACTCGCCGTGTTTGTAGGAGGAGGAATGCTGCCTATGACCCTAAGAACACCATCCCCACCGTCAAACATGGAGGTGGAAACATTATGTATTGGGGGTGTTTTTCTGCTAAGGGGACAGGACAACTTCACCGCATCAAAGGGACGATGGACGGCGCAATGTACCGTCAAATCTTGGGTGAGAACCTCCTTCCCTCAGCCAGGACATTGAAAATGGGTCGTGGATGGGTATTCCAGCATGACAATGACCCAAAACACACGGCCAAGGCAACAAAGGAGTGGCTCAAGAAGAAGCACATTAAGGTCCTGGAGTGGCCTAGCCAGTCTCCATACCTTAATCCCATAGAAAATCTGTGGAGGGAGCTGAAGGTTCGAGTTGCCAAACGTCAGCCTCGAAACCTTAATGACTTGGAGAAGATCTGCAAAGAGGAGTGGGACAAAATCCCTCCTGAGATGTGTGCAAACCTGGTGGCCAACTACAAGAAACGTCTGACCTCTGTTATTGCCAACAAGGGTTTTTCCACCAATTACTAAGTCATGTTTTGCAGAGGGGTCAAATACTTATTTCCCTCATTAAAATGCAAATCAATTTATAACATTTTTGACATGCGTTTTTCTGGATATTTTTGTTGTTATTCTGTCTCTCACTGTTCAAATAAACCTACCATTAAAATTATAGACTGATCATGTCTTTGTCAGTGGGCAAACGTGCAAAATCAGCAGGGGATCAAATACTTTTTTCCCTCACTGCATGGTGGACCGTGGATGTTAAATCAGGCCAGCTCAGTACAGCTTGGTTGGACTCAGCTCTGTTCAGCTCAATAGAGTGAAAAGTATTTTGAAGACCTAATACTGATTGCATGTATTCAACGCTTTACCCCCTTTCGTAGCCCACCGGCCCGGCACCCAACTTTGTGATTCACGTTGGCGGCTATTTTGAGTCAGCCTCCACATATCGGCCGTCGCACATGCTTTTCTGTGCTCCTCAGCAATATCACTGTGTGAATGTTTAATGATGAGTCAACTGTTAATAACAATGTGTCCCTTCTCTGTCTCCCCAGGTAATGTTTAAAGCCAAAGCAAAATATTCTCCGGAGCTCAACAAATACAAGTTAGTGGAATTTTTGCTGACTCCATGTTTGGGTTAGTCTAACTGGGTCTATGGTGGGTGGGGTGAGGCGAGGGACAAAGTAGGGAGAGGATGTTGGGCAGGAGGGCATCAAATGGCCAATAACCCAAATGAATGCTGGTGTATGGGAATCGATAGTGTTTTCTTAAACGATGCCAGGAGAGTTGAAATGTCATGGCTGTTTGCAAAGACACAAAATAAAGTATTATGGTGGGACCTTGTCAAACCCCCCTCCCCCTCCAAACCTCCCAAAATGTACCGGTCATCTGTGTAGCGACGTGCCGTTATAATGTCATATGTTGAACAATGTTGAATCTTTTTACTGTCCGTCCGTCTATAATACTGAACTGTTATGGACTACTGAGTTCCTCACACTGGGCACTGGGTACACGTATTACTATGAAATTATTAACGGGGCACCAGTCCTTTCTCGGTCATCTGTCACTAAGGGAAAAAAGGTTGATGCATTGCAGTTGCTACCATTTCTGCAAATTGTAAATCACTCTATGGGAATAACATAACATGAAAACGACAATCTAGTACGTTCTTACTAGAATGGGATCGTTCAAACCTTTGGTGCCAACATGGCTCTCGTTCAGATACTCAGAGCCCTAGATACAAAACCAAGTTGGCAAGATCTGTGTACAGAATCAATGACTGACGTTCACTGTATGCCTAGAGTGTATTATTGTAGATACAGTGGAATGGACTGTCCAGTAACCTTGATGAAGTCTAATAATGCCTCTGAGCTCCATCTCAGCTGTCTCCACCCTGGGCTGTTTGATGTGGACGGGGAAGGTGGGGTCCGAATTTCTGGACTAATGAGCACTTTGATCACCCAGCCGATTAATGTCTGATGCGAAGTGAAAAGCTGCAAGCCCAAATCCCCAAATCCACCACACACCCTCCTCCCCCTTTCTATCCCAGTCCTCTACAATCCCCCGCACCACACACGTAGGCACACACACACGCACAAATGCACACACACACATTCACAAACACAACACATACACACAAGGGGGGAGGGTGTAAAGGAAGAGAGGAGAAGAGCAGGTGGAGGAGGCGAGAGAGGGAACTGGGAAGATTGACTGAGCCAATGCAGTAGAATGGGATGGGGTTTGGGGTGTTTTAAGCTTTATTAATTTGTTGTTGTGTAGAATTATTGTCATGTTGTGTGTAGTAAGCTAGTTCTGTACCACCTATAATTGTGTTTTTTTCGCAGGGTGCCCATGCGTCTGGCATTCATCATTGCCAGCCTTTTCTTCCTTGTGGTAAACCTGACATGCGCCATGCTGGTGCAGGGGGGTATAGGGGGGGGTGAGGCGGGTGAGGCAGAGGTGCGGCAGGTGGTGCTGGCCCGGGTGCTGGTCAACGACAGCCTCTTCATACTCTGCGCCATCTCGCTGGCCGTGTGCATCTTCAAGATTGCCAAGATGTCCTCGTCCAACGTCTACCTCGAGTCCAAGGTACTGGACGGTCCATCAATCAAGCATTACATCAATCAATTAGCCAATAAGTCACTTAATCAATCAATTAATTGATTAATCAAGCAATCCATCTTTATCGTCCCTTAGTGCTCTAGAGGTGCACCATACAGTAGGTAGCCAAGCGGTTAAGAGCATTGGGCCAGTAACTGAAAGGTCGCTGGTTCGAATCCCCGAGCTGACTAGGTGAAAAGTCTGTGCCCTTGAGCAAGGCACTTAACCCTAATTACTCCTATAAGTCACTCTGGACAAGAGTGTCTGCTAAATGACTAAAATCTAAAAATGTAAATGCAATACTCTCTCTCTCCTTCCCTCCCTACCTCTCGCTGTAGGGTACGTCAGTGTGCCAAGCTACTGCCATAGGTGCTGCAGTCATCCTCCTGTACACGTCCAGGGCCGGCTATAACCTGGTGGTGGTGGCTCTCTCTCCAGAGAACCGGCCCAGCGCCTTTAACTACAGCTGGTACAACGTCTCTGACCAGGTAGGCTAGCCGTGTTTAGGAATACACACACGTAAAATGTTGACGATGATCATGAAGATTGTTAGTGTTAAGTCACTGTGAGAAGACTAGGGGCGTGTGTGTGTGTGTGTGTCAGGCCTGTTAAACCTTCAGTGAACCCTGCTGTCTTAGATATTCAAAGCTTGCTGTGCTGCCTGCCAAACACACACACCCCGGCTGTCTGACATAATTCATCATCTATTATAGGGCTGATCAGTCTGCAAACACTGACTGTGTGTGTGTGTTGTGTGTGTGTGTATGTGTGTCGGTGTCTGTATGATTAGGCTTTTTTTTTGTTTTCTCTGTCTCAACATGTATGCCCAATTTAAGTGTCAATGTATAATATGTCTGTTTTGACCATGACTCTGTGTGTGTGTCTGTGCACACGTACGCTCCTATGAGCGTTTATGTCTGTGTGGGTGCATGTGTTGTTTGTGCCTGTGAACACTAAACTCTTTTATATGGCTCTAGGTTTAAGCGTTAATCCCACTTATACCACAGCTGCCAAAGAATACAACACTAAAACACACATTTACTGGTAGAAATAGCATGTTTTCAATGATAATTTCATTTTGATAAGTGAATTCATATTTTCTCATCTTTCCACAAAATCTGGTTGTTAGTTCTTTAAGGACGAGCACTACATGGACAGTATGTGTGTTGAGTCCCTCTGTGTGTATCTGTGCATACATCCCATATTTATGACCATTCTCGCTAGTCTCCCTTCTAAGTTGACACTTGGCTTGAGTTCACTCAGTCCAGAAGACCTTGATGACAGAGCCATTCTATCCAGATCTGTTTGCTGAGTGGCTGAGAGCTCTGTGGCTTCTGCAGCAACAATCCATTTGATGGGATTTGGGAGGATATGGGCTCTGTGGGGGAAAGGTCTTTGTTTGTCTATAAATAACCCAGCAAGGCCAGGCGAGGAGAAGGGGGGAGCACAGCCAAGGGCTGCCTGGTGCTAGTGACCTAGATCTGGTCTCAACCCCTGAGACAGACAGCCCTGTACTGGAGGTTTTCCTAGTTCCCTAGGCCAATCTGAGGTCACTGTGTGTGTTTGGGTGACTGTCTGTCTTGGTTTATTGGTTTAAATGTGTCTTGTTGAGTAAGTGTGCATGTTTATCCATCACAAACACATACGTATATTTCTGTCTCAGTTGTAGGGCTGACCCAATTTTTTTTGGGAGCAGTCGCAAACAATACTAAAACAAAAATATAAATGCAACATTCAACAATTTTTATGATTTTTCTGAAATCAGTCAATTGAAATAAATAAACGAGGCCTTAATCTATGGATTTCACATGACTGGGCAGGGGCACAGCCATGGGTGGGCCTGGGAGGGCATAGGCCCACCCACTTGGGAGCCAGGCCTACCCACTGGGGAGCCAGGCCCAGCCAATCAGAAATAGTTTTTCCCCCACAAAAGGGTATTTAATACAGACGGAAATAGTCCTCAGTTTCATCAGGTGTCCGGGTGGCTGATCTCAGACGATCTCGCAGGTGAAGAAGCCAGATGTGGAGGGCCTTGGCTGGCGTGGTTACAAGTGGTCTGCGGTTGTGAGTCTGGTTTGACATACTGCCAAATTCTCTAAAACGACGTTGGAGGTGGCTTATGGTAGAGAAATTCTCAGACACCTTGACCTTTTCCACATTTTGTAACGTTTTTTTTCCCTCATCAATCTACACACTATACCCCATAATGACAAAGCAAAAACACGGTTTTAGACATTTTAGCAAATGTATATAAAATACAAAACTGAAAAATCACATTTGCATAAGTATTCAGACCCTTTACTCAGTACTTTGTTGAAGCACCTTTGGCAGCGTTTACAGCCTTGAGTCTTCTTGGGTATTATGCTATAAGCTTGTCACACCTGTATTTGGGGAGTTTCTCCCATTCTTCTCTGCAGATCCTCTCAAGCTCTGTCAGTGAGTGTTGCTGCACAGCTATTTGCAGGTCTCTCCAGAGATGTTCGATTGGGTTCAAGTCTGGGCTCTGGCTGCGCCACTCAAGGACATTCATAGACTTGTCCCGAAGCCACTACTGTGTTGTCTTGGCTGTGTGCTTAGGGTCGTTGTCCTGTTGGAAGGTGAACCTTCGCCCCAGTCTGAGGTCCTTAGCGCTCTGGAGCAGGTTTTCATCAAGGATCTCTTTGCTCCATTTATCTTTGCCTCGATCCTGACTAGTCTCCCAGTCCCTGCCGCTGAAAAACATCCCCACAGCATGAAGCTGCCACCACCATGCTTCACCGTAGGGATGGTGCCAGGTTTCCTTCAGATGTGACGCTTGGCATTCAGGTCAAATAGTTCAATCTTGGTTTCATCAGACCAGAGAATGTTGTTTCTCATGGTCAGAGAATCCTTTAGGTGCCTTTTGGCAAACTCCAAGTGGGCTGTCATGTGCCTTTTACTGAGGAGTGGCTTCCGTCTGGCCACTCTACCATAAAGGCCTGATTGGTGCAGTGCTGCAGAGATGGTTATCCTTCTGGAAGGTTCTCCCATCTCCACAGACCAAGGCCCTTCTCCCCCGATTGCTCAGTTTGGCCGGGCGGCCAGCTCTAGGAAGAGTCTTGGTGGTTCCAAACTTCTTCCATTTAAGAATGATGGAGGCCACTGTGTTCTTTGGGACCTTCAATGCTGCAGAAATGTTTTTGTACCCTTCCCCAGATCTGTGCCTCGACACAATCCTGTCTCGGAGCTTTACAGACAATTCCTTAGACCTCATGGCTTGGATTTTGCTCTGACATGCACTGTCAACTGTGGGACCTTGTATAGACAGGTGTGTGCCTTTTCCAAATCATGTCCAAACAATTAAATTTACCACAGGTGGACTCCAATCAAAAGTTGTAGAAACATCTCAAGGATGATCAATGGAAACAGGATGCACCTGAGCTCAATTTCGAGTCTCATAGCAAAGGGTCTGAATACTTATGTATTTCTGGGTATTTCTGTTTTTTCTTTTTAATACATTTGCAAAAATTTCTAAACACCTGTTTTTGCTTTGACATTATCGGGTATTGTGTGTAGATTGATGACGATTTTTTTTATTTAATACAATTCAGAATAAGGCTGTAACGTAACAAAATGTGGAAAAAGTCAAGGGGTCTGAATACTTCCCGAATGCACTGTGTGTATGTATAGTTTAAGCTAGAGATATCAGTTTTTTGCATTGGAATGCATCTCAATCCACCGCATCCGCCGATGTCGCACTTCCGCATCTGCGGGGAAAGGTGACAGACCATGAGACATCCCGAAAATCGGTCTTCTCACAAAATCGTCTGTAGCGTCCGAACTGTTTGGCCGACAAAATATGATGTGCACTTGTGTGTGTCTATGTGTGTATTTTGTCTGTGTTTCATTTCTCTAATTGTTGGATCTGTGTGTGTTGTCCCTCCAGGCAGACATAGAGAAGATCAGTGGAGAGGCCTACATTATCTTTGGGATCATCCTCTTTTTCTGGGAGCTGCTACCCACCAGTCTGGTCGTGGTCTTCTTCAGGGTACAGAGGCCCAATCAGAACCTAGTAAGACAATTGACTTCCTGACAGTATACCAGTCAATCAAGTAGCTAAGGCTGGGCGATTTACGATATATCTATTTTTTAAATGTGTTTCTCTAAATAAGCTTTGTTGTACAATTAAAGGTAAAATACACTGCATTTAAAACATTTAGCAATAATCTAATGAATTCAGAGCTTGTGAAATTATACCTAGGCTGAATATATGCCTTCCACAACCATAAGACCCACTAATAATGTAATTATTTTATCAATATAGTTGTACCTGCTTTTTTTTGCAATAATCACTGATCTGGCTTTCAGGTCTGTCTATAAAAATGCCCTTTATGCTACAAATTTAACCAGAACCATGCATAATGCACATTCACTAATAATGTAGCTGTGAGAGTGTGATTTGAAGGAGTCAGGCGCAGGAGGGTAAATCACAGAATACAGAGTTTATTCCGTAGGACACAGTTGCTGTCACGATCGTCGAAAGGATTGGACCAATGCGCAGCGTGGAATGCGAACATACTTTATTAAATATTCACCACACGAACAAAACAACAAAACGATACGTGAAGTCCTTGGTAACAAAACACAAACCATACACGGAACAAGATCCCACAATACACTGTGCCAAACAGGCTGCCTAAGTATGGGTCCCAATCAGAGACAACAAGCAACAGCTGATTCTCGTTGCCTCTGATTGAGAACCACCCCGGCCAACATAGATACACATGAACTAGATCCTAACATAGAAACACAAACACATAGAATCTACACACCCTGGCTCAACATATAAGAGTCCCAGAGCCAGGGCGTGACAGTTGCGCTGGATAGCGTCAACAGCACAGGGCGTAATACAGGCGCACTGGAACACAATACAGGCACACGGGGAGAAATAACCCCGGCAATACAAAGTACGTGTAGCTCAATCGAGCTACACTCATCTTCACATAAAACAATCACCCACAAGGACAAGGGGGCAGAGGGAACACTTATACACAGACTAATGAGGGGATATGAACCAGGTGTGTGTAATTGACAAGACAAGACAAATGGAATGATGAGATATGGAGCGGCAGTGGCTAGAAGGCCGGTGACGACGAACGCCGAAACCTGCCCGAACAAGGAGGGGAAGCAGCTTCGGAGGAAGTCGTGACAATAGCAGGCATTATAGAAAATTAACACTGGTCTCATAAACAATCTCTCAAGCACAAGCCCACATGCTAGTGAGTAGCCAGCTAATCTTTATATTTCAAGTTTAGCCAACTTGGATCTAAGTATCATTTCACAAGCTCTGAATTCAGCTAACAAGGCAAAACAGTTGAATTGTTGTGAACACAACCTTCTGTCCGTCTCCAACTGTTTGAACAGCATGCTAGCCTGTCCACTTTGTTCAGATGTTGAAATCAAGTGGCCTACCATATTTCTCAGAATGAGAACGAGTTGCCAATTCCTTATATAATAGTTTTATGCTTATTGCACATTTATAAAACACAGACTAAACAGTTAGTATAGCAATCTTTATCTGACTAAAATGCTGTTAGCGATACGTGGTAATGTAATGCGCACGAGACAAACTTAGCATTCATTTTCCAGAATGATGGTTCATTGGTACGTCCGTTTAGTAGTGTCTGCTCTGTTCGAAATTTGAGGAGTTGAAACATAAACAGGGTATGGTTCGAAAGGTTAACTTCTCCTCTATTACAGTAAAATAATGTCTCTATGTGTTTCGGTGTCCATATGACCGATTTCTGTTGGACCAAACCTCAAATGCAAATAGCGAGTTAAAACCGTTTGTTAGAGAGGAAGAAGTGATCTCTCATCTTTGTTGTTGTGAGTGGAGGGGGGGGGGGGGGGGGCTTGGGAGAAAGAGGCGAAGCGAGAGGTTTCACTCTCGCAGAAATCTGTCCAAAATAAGCCCTATGCGCTTATTTTCAACCTAACCTTGTCGCCTGCCTTCCCGCCTTTGGGACAACGACTCCCATTGTTAGGGCGGAGACATGAGCATCTCGTCATTATACAGATCTCTGGTGTAAATGGGAAGGTGCACAGCACAGAAGGAGCGAATGATACGAGACCAAAAAGACAACATGTGAACAAGCGGACATAAATGCTCATAAAAATGAAAAATACAAAAAAACTTCATTCTGCGATACAGGCATTTGGAATATCGCTCCAAAACATACATTCAAATTAATCAAATTAATTAGATATATCGCCCAGATATTAGTCAAATATTTACATACCTCAGTACGGGGTAGCTTAAAACAGCATGAGGTTCTATGTGGCCTTTATTTTAATCTTGTTATCAGTTTATCTCATCTATACTGAGAAAAAATATAAACGCAACATGTAAAGTGTTGGTCCCATGTTTCATGAGCTGAAATAAAAGATCCCAGAAATTACTCTCAAATGTTGTGCACAAATTTGTTTACATCCCTGTTAGTGAGCATCTCCTTTGCCAGGATAATCCATCCACCTGACAGGTGTTGTATATCAAGAAGCTGATTAAACAGCATGATCATTACACAGGTGCACCTTGTGCTGGGGACAATAAAAGGCCACTCTAAAATGTGCGGTTTTGTCACACAACACAATGCCACAGATGTCTCAAGTTTTGAGGGAGCGTGCAATTGGCATGCTGACTGCAGGAATGTCCACCAGAGCTGTTGCCAGATAATGTAATGTTCATTTCTCTGCCATAAGCCGCCTCCAATGTCATTTTAGAGAAATTGGCAGTCCGTCCAACCGGCTTCACAACCGCAGACCACGTGTAACCACACCAGCCCAGGACCTCCACCTTCTTCACCTGCGGGATCGTCTGAGACCAGCCACCCAGACAGCTGATGAAACTGTGGGTTTGCACAACCAAATAATTTCTGCACAAACTGTCAGAAACCGTCCTAGGGAAGCCCATCTGCATTTCGGCGTTCTTTGGGCAAATGCTCACCTTTGATAGCCAATGGCACGCTGGAGAAGTGTGCTCTTCACGGATGAATCCCAGTTTCAACTGTACAGGGCAGATGGCAGACAGCGTATATGGCTTTGTCTGGGCGAGCGATTTGCTGATTGCTCAACGTTGTGAACAGAGTGCCCCATGGTGGCGGTTGGGTTATGGTATGGGCAGGCATAAGCTACGGACAATGAACACAATTGCATTTTATCGATGGCAATTTGAATGCACAGAGATACCGTGACGAGATTCTGAGGCCCATTGTCGTGCCATTCATCCGACGCCATCACCTCATGTTTCAGCATGATAATACACGGCCCCATGTGACAAGGATCTGTATGCAATTCCTGGAAGCTGAAAATGTCCCAGTTCTTCCATGGCCTGCATAATCACCGGACATGTCACCCATTGAGCATGTTTGGGATGCTCTGGATCGACATGTACGACAGCGTGTTCCAATTCCCGCCAATATCCAGCAACTTCGCACAGCCATTGAAGAGGAGTGGGACAACATTCCACAGGTCACAATCAACAGCCTGATTAACTCTATGTGAAGGAGATGTGTAGGGCTGCATGAAGCAAAAATGGTGGTCACACCAGATACTAGCTGGTTTTCTGATCGACGCCTGTAACTTTTTTTTTAAGATATCTGTGACCAACAGACTGTATTCCCAGTCATGTGAAATCCATAGATTAGGGCCTAATGAATTCAGTTAAATGGACTGATTTCCTTATATGAACTGTAACTCAGTAAAATCTTTGAAATTGTTGCATTTATATTTTTGTTCTGTGTAGTTTGACATTAATTTATCACACAGGTGGAAGACTTTGAAACACAAATGATGACAGTTTAGTCATTTAGCAGATGCTCTCATCCAGAGCATCTTACAGTAGTGAGCGCATACATTTGAATACTTATTCGTACTGGTCCCCCGTGGGAATCGAACCCACAACCCTGGCATTGCAACCACCATGCTCTACCAACTGAGCTACATAAAACGATGTACTTACAAGGGTATTTCCAGTGTTATTACGATGGTATAAGTTCATGTAAAATGTTTTTCTTGTCATATATTACTTATTAAGCTGTGAGTGTGTCCTTTTCCCCAGGCACCAGGAGGAATGATCAACAGTCACAGCTTCAGTTCCAAGGCCTATTTTTTTGATAACCCCCGGAGGTACGACAGCGATGACGACCTGTCCAGGAGCATCAACTCCAGAGCAGATCGACCATGGTGGGTAACAGGCTACTCTATCACTTATAACATTCTATATTGTAAAATCAGTCACCTATAACATCATATATCCCCTGTACACAGTCACCTATATTGCATCCTATATTGTCCGTATACAGTCACCTAAAACCATCCTGTATTGCCTGTACATTCACCTATAACATCCTATATCGCCCAACTAAATTTCCCTGTAACATCCTATATCGCCTGTAACATCATTGACCCCCACAGTCACCTATATCATCCTATATTCCGCGGACACAACAATAACATCCTACATTCCAGCCATACAGTCACTTATAACATCATACACAGTCATCTATAACAACCTACTGTACCTTCAGAAAGTATTCATACCCCTTGACTTATTCCACATTTTGTTGTGTTATAGCCTGAATTCAAGAATGTATTAAATATATCTACACACAAATCTACACACAATACCCCATAATGACAGTGAAAACATGTTTTTAGAATTTACACAGTATTCACACCCCTGAGTCAATATATATATTTATATTTTTAGAAGTCACTCTTATTCAGAGTGACTTACAGTAGTCAGTGCATACATTTTCATATTTGTTCGAACAAAACATGTTAGAATCATATTTGGCAGTGATTACAGCTGTGAGTCTTTCTAGGTAAGTCTCTAAGAGCTTTGCACACCTGGATTGTACAAAATTTGCAAATGTTCTTTTAAAAACTCTTCAAGCTCTGTCAAGTTGGTTGTTGATCATTGCTAGACAGCCATTTTCAAGTCTTGCCATAGATTTTCAAGCCGATTTAAATCAAATCTGTAGCTAGGCCACTCATTCAATGTCGTCTTGGTAAGCAACTCCAGTGTATATTTGGCCTTCTGCTATTGTCCTGCTGAAAGGTGAATTTGTCTCCCAGTGTCTGTTGGAAAGCAGAACCAGGTTTTCCTCTAGGATTTTGCCTGTGCTTAGCTCTATTCCGTTTAATTTGATCCTAAAAAACACTACCTAGTCCTTGTCGGTGACAAGCATACCCATAACATGATGCAGCCACCACCATGCTTGAAAATATGAAGAGTGGTACTCTGGGATTTGTTGAATTTGTCCAAAACACAACACTTTGTATTCAAGACATAAAGTACAGTGGCTTGCTAAAATATTCACCCCCCTTGGCATTTTTCCTATTTTGTTGCCTTACAACCTGGAATTAAAATGGATTTTTGGGGGGTTTGTATCATTTGATTTACACAACATGCCTACCAATTTGAAGATGCAAAATAATTTTTTTGTGAAACAAATAAGACAAAAACACAGAAACCTTGAGCGTGCATAACTATTCACCCCCCCCAAAGTCAATACTTTGTAGAGCCACCTTTTGAAGCAATTACAGCTGCAAGTCTCTTGGGGTATGTCTCTATAAGCTTGGCACATCTAGCCACTGGGATTTTTGCCCATTCTTCAAGGCAAAACTGCTCCAGCTCCTTCAAGTTGGATGGGTTCCGCTGTGTACAGCAATCTTTAAGTCCTACCACAGATTCTCAATTGGATTGAGGTCTGGGCTTTGACTAGGCCATTCCAAGACATTTAAATGTTTCCCCTTAAACCACTCAAGTGTTGCTTTAGCAGTATGCTTAGGGTCATTGTCCTGCTGGAAGGTGAACCTCCATCCCAGTCTCAAATCTCTGGAAGACTGAAACAGGTTTCCCTCAAGAATTTCCCTGTATTTAGTGCCATCCATCATTCCTTCAATACTGACCAGTTTCCCAGACCTAGCCGATAAAAAAACATCCCCACAGCATGATGCTGCCACCACCATGCTTCACTGTGGGGATGGTGTTCTCGGGGTGATGAGAGGTGTTGGGTTTGCGCCAGACATAGCGTTTTCCTTGATGGCCAAAAGAAGTACCTTCTTCCATATGTTTGGGGATTCTCCCACATGCCTTTTGGCGAACACCAAACGTGTTTGCTTATTTTTGTCTTTAAGCAATGGCTTTTTTCTGGCAACTCTTCTGTAAAGCACAGCTCTGTGGAGTGTACGGCTTCAAGTGGTCCTATGGACAGATACTCCAATCTCCGCTGTGGAGCTTTGCAGCTCCTTCAGGGTTATCTTTGGTCTCTTTGTTGCCTCTCTGATTAATGCCCTCCTTGCCTGGTCCGTGAGTTTTGGTGGGCGGCCCTCTCTTGGCAGGTTTGGACTATTTTGTGTATGTCCATTACAATTTGGACTATTTTGTGTATGCCCATTACATGAAATCCAAATAAAAATCCATTTAAATTACAGGTTGTAATGCAACAAAATAGGAAAAACGCCAAGGGGGATGAATACTTTTGCAAGGCACTGTACATTTATTTGCCAGATTTTTTGCATTTTTTTTGCCTTATTGCAAACAGGATGCATGTTTTGGAATATTTGTATTCTGCTCAGGCTTCCTTCTCTTCACCTTGTCATTTAGGTTAGTATTGTGGAGTAACTACAATGTTGTTGATCCATCCTCAGCTTTCTCCTATCACCACCATTAAACTCTGTAACTGTTTTAAAGTCCCCAATGGCCTCATGGTGAAATCCATGAGCGGTATCCTTCCTCTCCGGCAACTGAGTTAGGAAGGATGCCTGTATCTTTGTAGTGACTGGGTGTATTGATCCAAAGTGTAATTAATAACTTCACCATGCTCAAAGGGATATTCAATATTAATTTTTTTACCTATCTACCAATAGGGGCATTGGGAAACCTCCCTGGTCTTTGTGATTGAATCTGTGTTTGAAATTCACTGCTCGACTGAGGGACCTTACAGATAATTGTATGTGTGGGGTACAGAGATGAGGTAGTCATTTAAAAATCATGTTAAACACTATTATTGCATATAGAAGGAGTCTATACAACTTCTTATGTGACTTGTTAAGTACATTTTTACTCCTGAAGTTATTTAGGCTTGCCATAACAAAGTGGTTGAATACTTATTGACTTAAAACATTTCAGCTTTTCATTTTTTATTAATTTGTAAATATTTCTAAAAACATAATTCCACTGTTGTGTGTAGGCCAGTGACACAAAATCTCAATTGAATCCAATTTTAAATTAAGCCTGTAACACAACAAAATGTTGAACATGTCAAGGGGTGTGAATACTTTCTGAAGGCACTGTAAATGCCCCACAGTCACCTATAACTTCCTATATTCCCTGTATACAGTTGCCCATACACAGTCACATATAACATTCTCTACATCCCCCAGCCACCTATAACGTCTTATATCCCTCATACAGATACAATGCTGAGTTAAGCCTGTCCCTTCCATCCCACAGTAGTGTCCTGTCCTCGACGCCCCAGTTGGACCCCAGCTGGTACGGCTCCACCCAGAGGAACGGCAACCTTACGGGGATCCCCCATCTCCCCAATGGCCCCCAGACCTCCACTGCCCCCCTTCTCCTAGCCTACGGCAACATCCAGACCAACCAGCACCATAACTACTACTCCACCCCCCAGAACTACTATTGTACCCCCCAGAATCACTACTGCACCCCTCAGAACTAACCACCCCCGCTGTCCCCAGTAGATACCCCTGAAAACAATCCGGAAAACCCTCAGGAAAGGGGCGCTCCGGACCTTCAGCTACATGGCTACGACCTCGGGGTTTCCCTGGCGACCCTGTGACTGGCGCTGTGTGGCCAAGCCTCCCTCATTCCAGCTATCGACCCGCTCCCACCCCACCAGGGCTACTTAACTCCCCATCTTGTTGTAGGCATGGTGACGACCTTTGGGATTTCTGGGGCCAGACGAGGGGAGGTCATTTGAGGTTAGTGGTGGTTAGGGAGTGGTCAGCTGAGTGATATTCCTTTTATTAAAAAAGCTTTCCAACATGTCTAATACCATAGTCCTGGAACTAGAGGTCTGCTACCCGACCCGAGCCCGACGGGCCCCGACATTATACATTGGGTTAGGGCCGGGTAGGGCCTATTATCTTCATCAATAACTAGAGTACGGGCAGGGCTCGGGTATCACTAAATTGATCACTAACATTTTTAATTTGAACCATTTGTGCGTGCTCTGCTGTGCAGTACAGTCATATTTGACTAAGCTCAACCACATCACATATAAAACAGGAGAGATTATTTCACAGAAAATAATCATGTTCCTTGAGTTTTTCAGGAGTTTAGAGTGACGAAAAGTAGCTAACAGCTAACTGCTCTCTCATGTCTCTTCATTGAGCAGAGCAGCCCAAGCGGAGACATTTCTATGGATACTCAGACTCAGAGCCACCATGAGCTGAGCGCATGCAGAGCAAGCTGCGCGCAGGGAGCGAGTGACAGACAGGGAGGAGCAGCTAATGGATTTACAAACTGAGGAAGTTATTTCTGATTTCGGGTTTTTAGCAGGGCCTTAAATTTGGCAGAAGCAATCGGGCCTGGGTAGGGTAGGGCCTGAACGTTGTGGGCATGGGTAGGGCTTTAAATTCATGCCAGTGCAGGGCACTTCCTGGAACATTGTACTATTCCTAAGAAGTGGGATGTGTGTGTAGAAAAAAATAAGGAAGTGTCTGTATGGAAAGGATTGTGCTTCTCAGCTTTTCCACACACATACTGTATGTTTGTCGGACATCAAACAGAAAAGTTAGTCCTCTATCTCTGTCAAGGACCAGACAAGCATGTGGACCAGCACTTATGTTTTTGCACCCCTATTCCTCGCCTATTTTGGTTTGGTCCAGTGAGCAGTTCTCCCCGCTTCCCCCTGCACACAGACTCCCCTCCATGAGTCGGGAGGCGACATTTGCACTTGAAAAGATCCCCTCACTTCACATTCTGTGGACAAGACCCTGGCTTGAATGTGTAGACTTGGCTCTTTATACAATCTCAGACTTTCAGTGTGTTCCTGTGTGTGTTCCTTGGACCATGTCTCATTTCCCTGTAGAAGACCAGTTGTTATCTGAGCAATGAGCCATCCGTGACAATGTCCCTCCAAACCAACACCAATCGGGGCTAGAATCATGGGCAATGCTCTCGGTATTCGAGCCCAATGTGCTCTGGGACACCATGGGAAGACTGTGTGAAAGAGGAAAGCCACTTTTGCCAAAGAGCGCACAGATCGAGAGTTGGGCCTAACATTTTGTCTCGAGCCTCCAGCTTTCCTAGCAGGGCAATCCCAGGATGGTGCACCTGCTCCCTGGGAACTCCGTTTGGATGAGAGGCCCCTAATGGAGCATAGACTGTGGGGAAACAATATGTTTCTGAATTAATGTTCTGATTTGGACCCAGTAAAGTGAATGTACGGACTAAGTATAGATCGGCGGAGTGATCGGATCAAAATGTTATTGTAGTCCAGTTTTATAGTACAGTAGGCTACTCCTTGCAAAGCCCTAGCAAGGTCCCAGGACCAGGTTAACCGGTGACAGAGAGGGATAGATGGGCTTAAAGAGGCCCTCCATCTCTTTCTATATCCTGACTATAATAGTAGCGGTATCCATGTGTTAGTTTACAGCATCAAGCTCACCATCATCAGCCTGGACCCAGATCTGTTTGTTCTGTCTTGCCAACTACTCTGGTCATAATCACCCCATCTGGGACCAGGCTACACCACCATACAGGGACACCTGAAAATGTGTCATTACATGTTACTGTTTGGTTTTTTTCCTTGTGGAAAACGTCTTGCACAAAATACTGTATATATCTAAAATGATTCATAAGCTTTATGACCTTCTACTTATTTCCATTTTAACTGGATTCTATGTTTGTTTTTGATATACTCCATGGCTACTAATTTGGATAATAGTGGTACGGCCCAGGTGTACAGGGCAAGTATGTGTGTGAATGTGTTTGCTAAACATGCTTATATGCACAGAAAGGGTTTAGGTAGGAGGTAAGAAAACTGTTGATTGTCTTTCCTTTACTTTGTTTGTTACTGTTGAACAGAGTTTTGTGTTGTTTGCAAAACCCTGTTCAGAGAGGGCAAGAGGAATTGCTCTCTACACATTTGATATCCCTTCAAATCATATTTTATATTAGTTTGGTTTTATTTTGCAATTTTTTTCTTGTTTCCTTGCATTCCTTCCATGAATGTCTGAGATCAAGTGTTGTCGTAATTGACGTTATACGAGTTGTGTAAATTAATATCAGCTGAGAAACACAATCAGTGGGCGAATGCAATCATATTTTAAGTATATTATTTTACCCCCTTTTTCGTGATATCCAATTGCGATCCAATTACGATCTTGTCTCATCACTGCAACTCCCCAATGGGCTTGGGAGAGGCGAAGGTCGAGTCATGCATCCTCCGAAACGCCCCGCCAAACTGCGCTTCTTAACACCCGCCCTACTTAACCCGGAAGCCAGCTGCACCAATGTGTTGGAGGAAACACTGTTTAACTGACAACCGAAGTCAGCCTGCAGGCGCCCGACCCGCCACAAGGAGTCGCTAGAGTGCGATGAGCCAAGAAAAGCCCCCCTGACCAAACCCTCCCCTAACCCGGATGACGCTGGGCCAATTGTGCGCCGCCCTATGGGACTCCCGATCACGGCCGGATCTGACACAGCCCGGGATCGAACCCGGGTCTGTAGTGACACCTCAAGCACTGCGATGCAGTGCCATAGACCGCTGCGCCACTCAGGAGGCTTTTAAAGTATATTGTATGCTATTTTCTCCCACCATCTCTGTGTTTGGGACTGATGTCATTGCATCATATGGCATATGTCACCTTTGACCTTTGGTGCTATGGAAGTCCTACAGGAAATGTTCAGTTGGACAGGAAATGAGAAAGTGTAACCCACAGAGAATGACAGAGGCCTCTAGTGGCCAAAAGGCAGTTTTAGTATGGGCAGCGCCATTGAGGGCTTCCACCATTTTAAAGTAAGGCAACTGGGTGGGACTTCCATCTTCATTAGCTGATCCCTCCTGATGACCCGGTTGGAGTCATGTCCAACTGGGTCACAAGGAGGGATCAGCCAATTGAAAATGTACTACTTTAAAATGGAGATAGTCTTAATGGAGTTGCCCATGCTGTCACAGACCCTAATGGCACAGATACAAATATGAGTCCTCTATCTCTATAGTGTAACCGCAGGTTGAACTTCCTCTCACCCTCCCAGGGCCACAAGCCAATTCCAGCCAGCCTGGTAGAACTACTTTTAAAGAAATGTTTTTATTGTATTTTATTTCCCCTTTAAAAAATATATATATACTTTTTGAGGTGGATTCTGCAGGGTAATGGATTTGGGTGTAGGAACAAACAGATGGTTGTCTTTCCCTTAATTTGCTTTGGAGTCTCAAACTAAGTTGCTATTTTTATTGTTGCTGTTAGCTTATTTGTAGCATATGTGTGTGACGGTTGCAGCAAATCTCTGTCAGTAAGCAGAAGCGAGCAGACAGCTATAATCAATGGGAAAATACTGACAAAGGTCCTCTGAAAAAAAAAAAGACATTCACCCATATATCCAAGAACATACAGCATTCTATCCGGCATAATTGCAAATTATCCTTACTTAAAGGGATAGTTCGGGATTTTGGCAGTCCCCAGAGTCAGATGAAATGTTGGATTAAATGTGTATGTCTCTGTGTCCAGTATGAAGGGAGTTAGAGGTAGTTTCGTGAGCCAATGCTAACTAGCGTTAGTTCAATATACTTCCAGTCATTGCTTTAACAGTAGTTATCAATTGCGCTATCGCTAGTTGGCAACTTCCTTCAAACTGAACGCAGAGACATAAAAATGGTATCTGGGGAAGTAGATAAAGGGCTTCATTGCCAAAATTCTGAACTATCCCTTTAACAGCAACTTACGTTCAAATGTATGAGTTGAAAGTATTGTATTTTTATGCTGATTTTGTTTCTGTGAAATCTATTGCTATATAAGCTAGTGTGTCTCGCAAAGAGCAGGTTTAGCCTTTTATAATAATTATAATTTGTCTCGAATTCTTTGTTGGTGGCCAATGAATGTAACACGTTTACCCATCTTTCATAGATAACATGTATGCAAGCACTACCTTGTTAAAATATAGTTTTTCATCTGAAAACACAAGGTATAACACAAGGGTCCTCTACAGAACTAGAGGCTGCATTCAAGGACACGATAGAGCCCCACTGTGGAGGTGTCATAATACCCATAAAACCTAGTGATCAAACAGGGAAATGGTTCCAATCGTTTTTCCACCGTTCATTTTTCCCATAGGGGATTTTAGAAACACTTAAAATAAGGGTTGTGTTTCGTGTAAGCTTACCCTGGCGTGCCGTTTTTATAACCATGTAAATCTCTCTCGGACAAGGTGACTTTTATCAATATATTCAGATCTATTTACTCTCAGATTCTAAAATGCTAATTAGTATCAAAGTAGACATCATGTAAAACTACAAATCCCTGCAAGCTCCTGCACGTCATCTTTAGCTGACACCTTTGCTAACAGGTATTGTGTCAATTTAAAACTTGCACAAGACAGTTCACAGAATTATCCATTTAAAGAAATGTACCCAATTTATTCATTACTACATTTAGCTAACAATAGATAGTTAATCTTACCTTTGCCTCGATTTCGGCAGTCTCGTCCAGATCATCATGGCATTTGTAGTTTTTTATGATAGCCACATTAGCAGCTAATTAGCATTTCATTTTGGGGAGGTAAATACAGGCGAATATATTGATAAGAGTTAACTTGTCCCAAAGAGATTTACACAGTTATCAAAACGTCATGCCAGGGTAAGCCTACATGAAACACAGCCCTTATTTGTAAGTGTTTCTAAAATCCCCTACGGGAAAAATGAATGGTGGAAAAACCATTTCCCTGTTTGACCGCTAGGTTTTATGGGTATTATGACTCATACTGTGGTACTCTATACATAACAATAGAACAAAACAGGGGCGTGTTTATCAAGACATGCAATGGACAACGTTTTAAATTGTTTTGCAACGTAAAATGAATATTTGCATTTCTTATTTGATGTCCAGGTAGTCTCTCCCTGTTTCGTTGTGTTTTGAACACAATGAACACAGCCCAGTTCTCTGAAGGCTCAAGAAGCCTCTGGTTGTCAATGTGACTGCAACTGATAAATCAACCATAAATATGAATCGGCCACTTTCTTTGATGGTGGAAACCATAACCGGTGCAGTAAGAGTTGGTTTGCATTCCTAAGTACCGACCAACATTATCCTCTCACAGAGGTCTCTCTTGTCTGTGAACGACTGGACATCGGAAATTGGGGTTTGTGTCTTGGCTGAACCCTCGACTACAATTCAATTATCCATGTTTTAAAGCAGATCAGGTTTGAGCTCCTGTTCAATCTACTGTTTTCCCACTTCTGATCATGCAACTGATCTTGATTCACAGTTGATCCATAATCAACACCCTTCTGCCTTTACCAATATTCACTAGGATGCCCAAGCATGTGGTCAATACAGTCAGTGTGAGGAGTTATCAAAGCCAGTGCTTTGCGTCACTTGGAGCAGAGGAAACCCACAGCAGATGGGCAGTGAAATGCATTATAAAAGCGTTAAAAAAACAAACGTGTTTGTGTACTGGTGATAGCACAAGTAAAGTATATAATCCTTCACGTGCTGGAGGAGGAGGACTGGAAATGACAATGATAAATGTGTATAATTTCAAAGGCTACTGACCTTGATAGGGAAAAGATAGTCGCACATTCATCTCTCCTTTATTTGACCAACATTTTGGTTAAAGAGCCTTCATCAGAGTATGACCCTGATTATGACTCTTATATAAAACAGTGAAGTGGATAGCCACTCAGAGATTAGCCTGAGATTGGAAGGTTGGGGGTTCGATCCCCGGGTGAGTCATAACCAAAGACTCAATACCTCTCTGCTTGGCACTCAGCATAAGACCCTGCGATAGACTAGCTTCTTGTCCAGGGGGTGTACTTGTACATTAAGCTGCCTCATGCTACAGAAATGTCTGGCTCAGACAAAACTATTTACTCTTACAGCAAGAAGAGATGAGTGTGCGACTTTCTTTTTTTATTTGTGTGTAGTATCTTTCGCTAATCAGCACCTCATCAAAAGGGTGTGTGTTCTTTATGTTTTTACTTAAAAGATTGTGTACAGACCAATGTTTATTTCAGTCATAGAAAACAATCTCTACACATTACATGCAGTTACCTTACAGCCAATAAGCCATTGAGGAAGATTGGATAAGCACTTGGAAAGGCCCTGAGAAGTGTACACATTCTATCAATGGTTGGTCAACATGTTTTACATGTATGCAAAATGTTTCATGTCGGTAACATTCATCATTCACCAATAAATTAATTGTGAAAAGCTATTGCAAGCAAAACGGTGCAAAGTATTATTTTGTTTAACCTGATACAGTATCGAAGTGCCATGTAGCTGAAAGGGTATTGGTTACGGTCCATGTTCCTTTGTTTGTTTAGTTAGATCCCTTGTAAGTCACTTGTCAGGATTTTCGTATGTGTCTTTCAGCAGCCCTAAACACCACAGCTACATGTTGTTGCTGTTGATTTTGAATAATTTCAATCAGCCTAGAAAATGGTCAATATGAATTTTTGGTCATTCTTTTGAGGGTATGTGGCTTTGAAGGGATGTGTGGGCTTAGGCTACCAGACCTTAGACAGCAGTGATCGGAACTCGGATGCATGTTGATATCCTGAAAAACTAAATTTAAACCTTTATACGGAGAAGTGGTTGAAAGTTACAAGGAGTGTGGGCCATATAGACTGCGTGTACAAAATACCTTCCTAATATTGAGTTGCACCCCCTTTTGCATGGACTCTACAAGGTGTTGAAAGCATTCCACAGGGATGCTGGCCAATGTTGACTCCAATGCTTCCCACAGTTGTGTCAAGTTGGCTGGATGTCCTTTGGGTGGTGGACCATTCTTGATACACACAGGAAACTGTTGAGCGTGAAAAACCCAGCAGTGGTGCACTACCATACCCCATTCAAAGGCACTTAAATATTTTGTCTTGCCCATTCACCCTCTGAATGGCACACATACACAATCCATGTCTAAATTGTCGCAAGGCTTGAAAATCATTCTTTAACCTGTCTCCTCCCCTTCATCTACACTGATTGAAGTAGATTTAACAAGTGACATCAATTAGGGATCATAGCTTTCACCTGGATTCACCTGGTCAATCTGTAATGGAAAGAGCAGGTGTTCTTAATGTGTTGTACACTCAGTGTAGATTTCATGTTGATTTGAACTGGAATGTCTTCTCTAGTATTTCAAATTCTATGCCAGAGACTATTGTACCTTCCAAAGGCAATGATGAGGGACAATATCTCTTGGCGGCTGAGCTGGAAAATGGGCTGGCCACTGCTGGATTTGAGCCTCGATCTGTCGCTCGGAAAACAAGATCTTCAGGGCTGTGCCTAACCCTTGGGTCTGCATGGGGATTCGAGAACATACTTTAAGCATTCATAACAACCTAATGCAGTGGTGGTCGGTGCTGTTTAAGATGAGGGAGGACGCACATTTTATTTATAAGCATGGCCTTATTTCTATTCCATTCACCCAGCTCAATGTAACATCGATAGGTTTAGGCTACTACATGATACTTGAATTTTCCCCATACCCATCATGAGGTTGCTACAACCTAGCCTATGAATCAAAGTTTACAGCGTAGGTGCACAGGTCGAGATACATTTTAGTAATCACGGTGACAGACAGTGACACATTCAATACCTCCTTGCACACTCTAATGTAATCATTAGTCCAACAGTTGCAAATGTGAGTTTCTATTGGACAAATTCAGGTATGTTTATCCCCGTTTCGTTCTGCTTCCGTTTAAGGAAGGTTTTTCTGCTTCAGTTTAAGAAAAGTTTTTCAACAGAATTGGCAGAATGAATACACCCCTGATCACACGCAAACACAGTTAACTTTCATAGCAGTCACATACAAACAGCATGATCACTTTTCTTGTTGAATGATTCCTTCTCGCATATACGTGCTCTCCTCCTCTCACCTTTTCCCTTTGCTTGTGGACTTCAGTGCACAACACATCAGCTGTATTTGACCTGGTGAAAAAAACTTTCCAAGCCAAACCTTCATATCATAACTGCTAACCACAGCCTATATCGTTGTCACCATATTAACTAACGTCATAGTCAACATAGATACTAGAACTAACGCGTTAGTAAATCCGCTACAATCATACAGTATAGTGTACAGTAAGCAAGCAGTTTAGCAGTTACACCGGCGGGCCCCGGTGGCAATAAATTACTCAAACCAAAAGCTTACCTTGACTTGGAAGAGTTCCAGTGTTGCATAGCCAGCTAGCTAACATAGCATTCCTCTCTGTTTGAGCAGGGTATTTGAGTAGGCTAAACTAGCTAGCTGCAATCACTAGCTGTGAAAGTTAAAGTAAAATAAATACAACAAAATATAGCTTCTCCTTCATTTCATGGGGCTCCCGAGTGGCGCAGCGGTCTAAGGCACTGCATATCAGTGCTTGAGGCGTCACTACAGACCACCTGGTTCGATCCCAGGCTGTATCACAACCGGCCGTGATTGGGAGTCCCATAGGGCGGCGCACAATTGGCCCAGCGTCGTCCGGGTTTGGCCGGTGTAATAATAATAAGCCATTTAGCAGACGCTTTTATCCAAAGCAACTTACAGTGATGCGTGCATACATTTTTTTGTGTATGGGTGGTCCCGGGGATCGAACCCACTACCTTGGCGTTACAAGCGCCGTGCTCTACCAGCTGAGCTACAGAGGACCACTGTGTAGGCCGTCATTGTAAATAAGATATTGTTCTTAACTGACTTGCCTAGTTAAATAAAGGTAAAATAAAAATACATTTCTGAAGCAATGAATTTGTTCAAAACTGTTGTCTTTCTCTCTCTTTGAGTCAACTACTCACCACATTTTATGCACTGCAGTGCTAGCTAGATGTAGCTTTCAGTACTAGATTAATTATGTGATTCTTTGATTGGGTGGACAACATGTCAGTTCATGCTGCAAGAGCTCTGATTCGTTGGAGGACGTCCTCTGGAAGTTGTCATAATTACTGTGTAAGTCTATGGAAGGGGTGAGAACCATGAGCCTCCCAGGTTTTGTATTGAAGTCAATGTACCCAGTGGAGGACAGAAACTAGTTGTCCTCCGGCTACACCATGGTGCTACCCTACAGAGTGCTGTTGAGGCTACTGTAGGCCTTCATTGCAAAACAGTGTGTTTTAATCAATTATTTGGTGACGTGAATATATTGATTATAGTTTTATTTTAAAAGGATAACTGTTTTTCCCACTATTTTTATTTGTATGAAATTCACTGAGGAGGATGGTCCTCCCGTTCCTCATCTGAGAAGCCTCCACTGACCTAATGTCACCCTAATGTCACCTACATTGGTCACAGTATAACAACAATATTACCTCACTAACTAAAATAGATCTTTGTATCACCACAATATGTTTCTGAGCAGTCAAATATCCCTCCCCCAACACACACACACACACACACACACACACACACACAGAGTAAAGGGAACTTTCCTGTTCACTCACCTGCAGTTTGCCCCAGAGCCTGCACTTAACGCAGCCCATGCAGCCCATTATCCTGGAGATGTTGCAGAAGGTCAGCCTAAAGTCCTCCTGACGTTAACAACAAGAGAAAGAGAAGCACAGATAGTGGTGTTAGTTTATCAGATAGGACTACTATCTCAATTGAATGAGTATGTGGCCACAGCACATTATCGTTACTGCCGTCCCAAAGGGCACACAAATCCCATGAAAAGGGGAGACTAGGAGGTATAGTCTCTACTTTTTTTCACAATCTCAGTTGGACAGCGCTACAGTCTTATGAGTGGTATATACTATAGGCATATATGGCATACCGACCTTGAGCGTGGCAGCTTCTTCCATATTCCCAGCAAACAGAGATGTCTCATCAAAGTGCAGAGGGAAAGACCTGAGGTCAGGATGTAAGAACCTTTTATATAATCTTTTATGACGTATTACTGCTTATATTATTTGTGAGGCATCTAAGGAATTCTTCTGAAGACTGTAGGAATGCCTTAGAACCAGTGGAGGCTGCTTAGGGGAGGACGATTCATAATGGTTGGAATGGAGTCAATGGAATGGTATCAAACACATGGTTTTTATGTGGTTGATACCATTCCATTGACTCCATTCCAGCCATTATTATGAGCCGTCCTCCCCTCAGCAGCCTCCACTGCCTAGAACATCATAAAGCCTTTATAAGTTGTTGTTCGTTCAAAGTGGGACGACTATATCAATACACTTCTAATTCTTCATTAGCCACCAAACGGAAGAAACAGGCTGAAAATGGGATGGTCTACTTGGACTTGTCCTATAAGCAACGCTCATTTTCCATTGCGTGCCCCTAATGAACATGACCCTGGTGAGTGAGCCAGTTATTCTTTGCCTGCAGCCTGCAGTACACTCACTTAGCCACCTGGAAGAGCTCTAGGAGCAGGAGTTTGTGTCGTTGGTTCCTGGGTGGGCTGGCCAGTGTACAGCTGGAGGAGAGGCAGAACTTGGCCAGTGCACGCTGCTCCATCAGGTAGAGGAAGTAGAGGTCGCGCAGCCTCTTTGGGCTCTCGCCATTGGTCAGCTGGACGTCGAAGCGTTGCTGGAACTCGGCGACGTTGTGAACTCACTTCTTCTGGAACCAGTTGTCTGACGAGGAAGGATGTGAGACTGTGGCCCTGTCCAGAAACAAACGCTAGTCCGTACCTGTTTTACACTTGGAGATCTGAGAGGATTTGATAGGTTTAAGCAGTATAGCTCCACCTAGGCCTCTTGTACCCTCTGATAGGCTTGCTTACATCTGTCCAATCCTCTCAGATCTCCACAAGTGTCTAGTGAGTAGGCGGTAGGAGCTAGCAGTTATTTCTGGACAGGGCCTTTGATACTCTCCACAGCAATAGACATATTCCAATATATTCCCAGGGAATATTTGCATTGTAGAAATAAAGAGGTGAAAGGTAAACAATGGTACAGTATGTGCATAAGAGTTGTTGCTGGGCAACAAGCTGAAACTTGCAGAAATGTGGATGAACAATTCAGTAGCTGAATTAGGTATTTAACAAAAACGTAAAACAATCCATCACAGGTTTCCCCCTAAAATCCACATAGCGGTTCTGATTGACTAAAGTCATAGGGAGAAGGAAACTACTGCATTGAAGAATGATAGACTCCAAAATATTCTGAATATACCAACCAGCTTCCTCTCTCTGGAGGTAGTTTTAGACCTGTGTGTGTGTGTCTGTGTCTGTGTGTGTGTGTGTCTGTGTCTGTGTGTGTGTGTCCAGGAGGTACCAGGCAAATGTCTTCCTTGAGATTATAGATTTTATGGGATATGCTCAATTTAGCTAATTGAACAAACATTTCATGGTCCAATAGATTTATAGTTGAAAAGGAACATGATACAGTTTCTGTGAGTGGAAAGAAACAATAAAGATGAATGAAAATCGTTGGTTGAAACATATATATAATCTTGACACTTAGATCAATGTCACGGTTTCTGCCGAGGCTGCTCCTTCTCCTTGTTCGGGCAGGCTTCGGCGGTCGTCGTCCCCGGAGTACTAGCTGCCACCGTTCGTTGTTTCTGTGTTCGTTTGGTTTGGTCTGTTTTGGTACACCTGTTTCTCATTTTGTCTTGATTATGTGTCCTTTAAGTTCTCGTTGTTTCTGTCTTGTGGTTGTGTGTAGTTGTTCATTGTCAGCAGGTGTTTCCATGTCAAGTTTATGCTCTATTTCTGTAGAGAGTCCGCACTATTGTGCGTGTTTGGTTTATTACGCTGAGTGCGTTTTTTTTCTTGTGCCTCCGGCTCTGTTTGTAGCCGTTCATTCTGTGGACTTGATTAAAGTATTTTGGACTACTTCTGCATCCTGCATCTGATTTCCACACCACCCCCACGCCAGCTCTGACAGAACTACACACCACTCATGGAATCAGCAGGAGCAGCAGCAGCGACCGAGTCATGGGAGGAGCGCGTCCGCGGACAGGATGACAGGATAGCCCAGATCACCAACGCTCTTCAGGGAGTAATGAATACCCTGCATCGCCTGGAGACCAGTTGGGCACCCACGCCTCCTCCCACATTACCACCAGCACCGGTCAGTCCTTTTGTCCACGCTCCGGAACCCAGTGGGATTCGGCTCTCGCTCCCGAGGGCGTATGATGGTACCGCTGCCGGGTGTCAAGGTTTCCTCCTACAAGTTGAACTCTACCTCGCCACCGTACACCCGGTGCCGTCGGGACACGAGAGCGTTTCCGCCCTCATCTCCTGTCTCACCGGCAAGGCGTTGGAGTGGGCCAGCGCCGAATGGAGGAGAATAGACCCCGCGACGATCACCTATGCGGAGTTCTCCCGTCGCTTCAGGGCTGTATTCGACCATCCACCTGAGGGGAAGGCGGCGGGAGAACGTCTATTCTACCTCCGACAGGGGAAGAGGAGCACCCAGGAGTTTGCACTGGAGTTCCGGACTCTAGCGGCAGACGCAGGGTGGAATGAGCGGGCCCTCATAGACCACTTCCGCTGCAGCCTACGGGAGGATGTCCGTCGTGAGTTGGCCTGCAGGGACACCACCCTCACGTTTGACCAGTTGGTGGATATGGCCATTCGCCTAGACACCCTGCTGGCCACCCGCGGACGTCCTGAGTGGGGGTCGTCCATTCCACCCTCCAGCACCTCCGAGCCTAGTCCTATGGAGCTCGGGGGTGCTGGCGCTAGAGAGGAGAGGAGAAGGAGCCCCAGGGGGACCAACCCCTGTACCAACTGTGGCCGTGGAGGACACACTGCGGCCAGGTGCTGGGGGGGGTCTCCTAGGGGACGAGACGGCAGGCCACGCACTGGGGAGTCCTTCCAGGTGAGTAGGCGCCCCACTTACCCAGAGCTCTCTGTTGTGCACCTAACCATACCTGTTTGCTTCCCACAGGTTGCACCTCGTTCCCAGCATAAGGCGCTAGTAGATTCAGGCGCAGCTGGGAATTTTATAGATCGGAGATTTTGTGCAGAGTTAGGGATTCCCCTCCTTCCTGTCAACAATCCTTTCCCTGTACATGCTCTAGATAGCCGTCCGTTGGGATCGGGGTTGATTAGGGAGGTCACAGCTCCACTTAGGATGGTGACGCAGGAGGGTCATGAGGAGACTATACAGCTATATCTTATTGACTCTCCTGCGTATCCGGTGGTGCTGGGGCTTCCCTGGTTGATTACCCATAATCCCTCTATTTCGTGGCAACAGAGGGCTCTTATGGAGTGGTCTGCCCAGTGTGTAGGGCGATGTCTGGGCGTTTCCGTAGGGGCGACCTCGGTGGAGAGTCCAAACCAAGTGCCCGCATTGCACATTCCCCCCGAGTATGAGGATTTAGCACTTGTGTTTAGTAAGGCGAAGGCGACGCAATTGCCACCACATAGACAGGGGGATTGTGCGATAGACCTCCAGGTAGGAGCTGCGCTTCCGCGGAGCCATGTGTATCCTTTGTCTCAAGAGGAGAAGAGAGCTATGGAGACTTACATAGCCGAGTCTCTGAGACAGGGATACATACGGCCCTCCACTTCCCCTGCGTCCTCGAGTTTCTTTTTTGTGAAGAAAAAGGATGGAGGTTTGCGCCCGTGTATTGATTACCGCAGTCTCAATCAGATTACTGTGAAATACAGTTATCCACTCCCTCTGATTGCGACTATGACGGAGTCTTTACACGGGGCGCGGTTCTTCACAAAATTGGACCTCAGGAGCGCATACAACTTGGTGCGTATTAGGGAGGGAGACGAATGGAAGACAGCATTTAGTACCACCTCGGGTCATTACGAGTATCTCGTCATGCCATACGGGTTAATGAATGCTCCTTCAGTCTTCCAATCCTTCGTTGATGAGATCTTCCGGGATATGCAGGGGCAGGGAGTGGTCGTGTACATTGACGACATTCTGGTGTATTCTTCTACCCGAGCCGAGCATGTAGCCCTGGTGCGCCGAGTGTTGAGGAGATTGTTGGAGCATGACCTATATGTCAAGGCAGAGAAATGTCTGTTTTTCCAGGAGTCTGTCTCCTTTTTGGGTTATCAGTTGTCTGCGTCAGGGGTAAAGATGGAGGTTGACCGTGTGTCGGCCGTGCGTAATTGGCAAACTCCAACCACTGTTAAAAAGGTGCAGCGGTTCTTGGGCTTTGCGAATTACTACAGGAGGTTAATCCGGGGTTTTGGACAGGTGGCAGCTCCCATAACGTCTCTTCTAAAGGGAGGTCCGGTGCGCTTGCAGTGGTCTGCTGAGGCTGATAGGGCTTTTGGGAGACTGAAGGACCTGTTTACCAACTGTACTACAGTGGGTAAATCATGTTAATTTACGACTGTAAGATACCATAGGATTTAAAGTCCGCTTCACAGTGTATGGTCTGAGGAAATTCATATTGTTGCCTACTGTAAAAATCCAACATTTTAAATTACACTACAGATTCATTGTTTAAGAGGCAACTGATTCATATTCAAGGGCAGCATTTATGAACATTTATAAGCTTTACAACTTATAAGCACGTATGACATTTATAAAGCATTAATAAGCATTTATAACGACCTATTCACTTTAAGCAGTTCTCCTCATAGGTGCTGTTCCAGATTTGCCAGGCTTCTGGCCCTTTGTATCCTGTGAAGTGCTCTGGATTCAACAGTAGATCTACATACTGGGAATCAGGAGATTCCTCATCCTCATCTAACCTTAATTAAGAGGATGTGTCTGTTTAATACATTCTACTATACTGTAGCCTACAGGATACTGTAGCCTACAGCACATGAGGATGCTAAGAAGGTGAAAGATTTGACATCCCTCTTGAGTGAAAAAAGCTGTTGCCACATGCACAAATAGTCCAGCTGTCTGTCACAGCTATTTGGACAAGTGTGATTTTTTTAAAATATAATTTTTACTTAAACTTTGAACGAGTTTAAAAATCCTTCACTGAGAAGAGAACATGGTTAGCTTACCATCAATCACACAGAAGCGCTTTGCCTCGTCATCGTGCTTGTTCTATTCCAGGAGGGACTGCCTGGTCTCCTCACTACACAGAGAAACAACCACAGGGATATCAAGCTATTGGTCCAACAAAAGGGGGGGCTATGTAGTGTGTAGTAATGCTACCTCAGACTCTGCATAGAGCTCGTGATTTACCTGAGGAGCTGTCCACCACTCCAAGCTTCTCAGCCTTCTCACTATCGTGGTTGTTCACTTCTGCTAAGTACTGCTTACACACACAGACACACACACACCAATAATTCAACTATTTTAGCCCATCTAAATTGCCAAAGTGAACTACAGTAGCTATGTGATATGACCCTCCTAATCATTTCAAGTACTTCCCCTTCATGAAGTTCCCAATTATATTCCCTTATTGTGGTGGACATTTGTTTTCACTCCCTCTGGAACCTCATTCTGTGGAACAGGAGTACAATCTTAACCCAACTTGAGTCAATATTTGGTCAGTGAGAGAGGAAGGCCTATGTTTGAAAGATACTCACTGGTGTGCACAGTATCACGGCACAGTTCCTATGTCCACAGAGGCTTTTGTCTGTCCAGAATGAACAAGGCTTATTCAGGTTCACCTAGTAAAGAAAGACATACAGATATATGATCAGGGATGACATAGTTGGGACACATGAAATGACAGTCTATAAAATCAGAACTAGACGGACTTAAGCAGCTTCTGAAGTTTGGGCAAGGGTCGCTCATTGTTGAAGGCATCAATTGCCTCCACATCACAAGCGCAGTCATCCAAGCTACCGGTCACCTGTGGTAACAAAACTGTACTTCAACTGTATAATTCATAGACTACTGCCGTGTATGAGATAAACATAATAGTTCTAAACCTATTGTAGTGAATCCGGGGGGTATCCCCAACCAGGACTTGAACCCGGGTCCAGCAACTGTCAAGCGAACACCTTAACTGTAACGCCAAGAGATACAAACCTCTTGATGAGGTCACTAGGTGTTGGGTTAAGGTCACTACATTACCCCCTTCCTTCAGGAGAGCGTGTGCCCACACTTCTCTATATCAAGTCCCTCATGTGTACACGCCTCTCTGATGGCCCCACGGCCGCCATCCCACTTCTGACACCAATGTAGCAAATTCTGGGGGTAGCCCCGACCAGGACTTCAAAGTTATACATTATTTACAGCGACTCAAAGAAAAACAAAACATACACAATGGAGTCATGCCTTCTATTTTAGGTTATTATAAATTAAGACAGTAGTTGTACAAGGTCATATATGATGCACTATATATACAAAGATATGTGGATACCCCTTCAAATTAGTGGATTTGGCTATTTCAGCCACACCCATTGCTGACAGGTGTATAAAATTGAGCACACAGCCATGCAATCTCCATAGACAAACACAGGCAGTAGAATGGCCTTACTGAAGAGCTCAGTGACTTTCAACGTGGCACCGTCATAGGATGCCACCTTTCCAACAAGTCAGTTCGTCAAATTTCTGCCCTGCTAGAACTGCTAGAGCTGCCCCGGTCAACTGTAAGTGCTGTTATTGTGAAGTGGAAACGTCTAGTAGCAACAACGGCTCAGGCGCGAAGTGGTAGGCCACATAAGCTCACAGAAAGGGACTGCCGAGTGCTGAAGCGTGTAGTGCGTAAAAATCGTCTTTCCTCGGTTGCAACACTCAATACCGAGTTCCAAACTGCCTCTGGAAGCAACGTCAGCACAAGAACTGTTCGTTGGGAGCTTCATGAAATGGGTTTCCATGGGAAGCCGCACACAAGCCTAAGATCACCATGCGCAATGCCAAGCGTTGGCTGGAGTGGTGTAAAGCTCGCCACCATTGGACTCTGGAGCAGTGGAAACGCATTCTTTGGAGTGATGTATCATGCACGGACGAATCTGGGTTTGGCGGATGCCAGGAGAACGCTACCTGCACCCAATGCATAGTGCCAACTGTTAAGTTTGGTGGAGGTTGAATAATGGTCTGGGTCTGTTTTTCATGGTTCGGGCTAGGCCCCTTAGTTCCAATGAAGGGAAATCGTAACGCTACAGCATACAATTACATTCTAGACTATTCTGTGCTTCCAACTTTGTGGCAACATTTTGGGGAAGGCCCTTTCCTGTTTCAGTGTGACAATGCCACCGTGCACAAATCGAGGTCCATACATAAATTGTTTGTCGAGATCGGTGTGGAGGAAAATGACTGGCCTGCACAGAGCCCTGACCTCAATCCCATCAAACACCTTTGGGATGAATTGGAATGCCGACTGCGAGCCAGGCATAATCGCCCAACATCAGTGCCCGACCTCACTAATGCTCTTGTGGCTGAATGGAAGCAAGTCCCTGCAGCAATGTTCCAACATCTAGTGGAAAGCCTTCCCAGAAGAATGGAGGCTGTTATAGCAGCAAAGGGGGGACCAAGTCCATATTAATGCCCATGATTTTGGAATGAGATGTTCGACGAGCAGGTGTCCACATATTTTGGTCATGTTTCATCTTTCTCTCTTGAGTGTGGGCAGGTGAATTGTTGGATGCCTTTTTGTTTAAATTACTGTCTTAAACAGTTTTGTTTTTTTGTTTTGTTTGTTTGTTTCTTTTTGGGATTTATCGACCGATGGCCTGTAAGGTCCGGAAAGATATATCCATATTTTGTTTGTTATGTTTTGACAACTCTTTTTGTCTAAATATTCAGCCCAACTAAGAAACCTCAATTGCTGGATCCAGCAAATATCTATTTGAAGATCAACCATCCATCAATTATTGAGTAAGAAGTATCATCACTGTATAATGCTGAATAGTCTTGTTGATAAATTTCTAAGTTAAACAAATTACTTTAAACATTAACACTACAATTAAAATGGCTGCTGTAGTTGTGGCTATTTCCAGCGATGCAAAAACTGATGTCAAGGAAAATGAGACCTGGAGCAAGGTTGTGGGATGAAATGCCCCAAAGGAGACTCCCGAGTGGCGCAGTGGTCTAAGGCACTGCATCGCAGTGCTAGCTGTGCCACTAGAGATCCTGGTTCGAATCCAGGCGTTGTCGTAGCCGGCCACGACCGGAAGACCCATGGGGCGGCGCACAATTGGCCCAGGGTAGGGGAGGGAATGGCCGGCAGGGATGTAGCTCAGTTGATAGAACATGGCGTTTGCAACGCCAGGGTTGTGGGTTCGATTCCCACGGGGGGCCAGTATGAAAAATAAAAAAATAATGTATGCACTCACTAACTGTAAGTCGCTCTGGATAAGAGTGTCTGCTAAAATGTAATGTAAAATGAGACTGTTTTACCTATTTTTATCATGGAGAGAGAAATCCTGACAAAGGAGGAGAACAATGACCTCTCATTCCAAGAAAAATAATAAGAAGAATACGAGGAAAAATGCTAAAAATGAAGCTGGGAAAGTGTCTACTGAGACCAGTGACAATCATAACCTAATAAAAAACTCTGAGGATAATAAGGGACCCCGAAGGCAGTGCAACTCTCTGCGGAATACTAAAGAAGGCAGGCAAAAATCAATGCTGGGCTTCATTCAAACAATCCGGAATCAACAAACACCCAAGCGGCCCAGAGTATCAAGCTCCCCATCAGAGTCTGGAGTTACAGTAGGTCACCTGCAGAAACAAAGCCTGATATGGAGGATGTCATTCTGGGAGAAGTGGAGAAAGGTCCCCCTAATTAGCCATCCAGACTGAAATCATTGATGAATGGTGGAACATGAATGATTGAAATAATATATATTTGAGTAGCCTATATTACCTGGTTCAAAGAAGGACATTCTGTGTATGTGAGCATAATCTCTGTCACTAACATGGTTTTTCAAGAGAATGAGCAATCTGCAGATAATCTAATTTTAATGCAAACTCTTGATACATGTCCCAAACAAAACCCGCTTTCAAGACAGAAACTCAGTTCCCTTAACCCAGCTATTAGAAAACATTGTACCATGAAACGTTTTCAAACCGTTAATCAGGCTAAAATGCTCTGGGACCCTCGTTCTAAGCCTAGAGGAATATTAGGAGGTCATCTGAATATTCCTAGCATTATTTCTAAGAGGGAACAGGTAGAACATTTATTGAATGACTCTAATCTTGATTTTTTTCTGTTTCTCTGAGACCTGGCTGAAGAAATCTCCTATTTCTGCCTTTAATGTCCCTGGATATTCCATATTCAGGAGGGAGAGGGCAGAGGGGGTGGATTGCTTATGTACCTGAAATAACTTTAAATGCAATCATGTCATATGGAAACATGCCAATGACCTTGAATGTATGGGGCTGAATGTCTTCCTCTCCCCTCATATGTCTCTCACTATTATTGGATTATATCGACCACCAACATCTGATATCTCATTTTATGACCATCTAAATGCCATGCTTAAAGAATGTGATCAAAAGAAAGAGATAATCTTCATGGGCGATTTCAATATAAACTGGGAAAACAAAACTTGCAGGAAGAAACTCAAAGAGATCACAGACTATTTCAACCTGACTCAAATAATACAAGGACCAACCAGAGTAACACAGACATCCCAGACTCAAATTGATCTGGTGTTTACTAACAGACCTGATCGAATAACTAAGTCCATTAACTTACTAACTGGCATATCTGACCACAATGTTACATTGGTGGTTAGAAAGCTCACTAAAAATAGATTTAAGAACCATATTAATGTACGATAAAAAACTATGATGCAGCTATAAGTCAAATTGACTGCTGATCTGTTAAGAAATGAAGACCCAGAGTCTGGATACAGAACATTTCTGTCAGCTATTGACAAAGTGAATATCTCTTTTGCCAGGAAATTTCAATGTAAGCCAAGACGGAAAACCTCTCTACAATGGCTCAACGAGGGCCTCTGGAGGCAGATGAGAGAACGGGATCTTTCCTTGAAAAAAGCACTGGTCTGGTCAGAATGATGACAGACATATATTTACATCACTGAGAAATAAGGAATATAAAAAAATCTAAAGCAGAGTTCTTCCTCAGAGTGATCAATGACGCAAAAGGAAATGGCAAAGTGATTTGGGAAAATCTCAACAAAAATATCAGGGAGAGGAGCTGAAAAGTAAAAAAATAAAACACCCTGAATTAAAGGTTAATGGGATTCTAATTCAATACTCCAATTTCATATCCACCACCTTTAATAATTAATGGGTAGGCTTTTTTTATTGACTCTGTCAGGGAACTGGCTCAAAGATTTTCAACCAAGACCACAGTTCTCACTCCCATGGAAAATAATAAACCAATATCCAGAATTCCTGAAATCTCAGCATCAGCAGTGGACAGTATTATTAGCTTCTTCAGGAGCGCTAGAACAAAATATGTATTTGGTCTAGACATTGTATTCCTGAAGAGACTCAAATATTCACTGATTGCCCCTATCGTATATCTAGTTAATCTGTCCATCAAATATGGGATCTTCCCCAATCCTTGGAAGTCTGCTGCAGTGATACCTGTATTAAAATCTAGTGACCCAACTCTGGTGGAAAATTACTGACCTATAAGTATTCTTCCAGTGCTATCAAAAGTAGCTGAAAGATGGGTGGCTGATCATCTGACTGATCACCTCAATCAGGGCAACTCCATACATCAAATGCAATTTGGATTCAGAACTAACCATTCTACCGAAACAGCCAATTGCTAGTTCATTCAATCTAAACTGGACATAGTTGGTGAAGTCGACACAGTCTTTTTGGCCTTTGATACTGTGAATCATGAGGTCCTCCTATCCAAACTATTCTGTGTCCACTGAAGCCATTAGTTGGATGTATTCCTATCTGACAAACAAAAGTCAAAGG